TTAAGACAAATACATAATTCTCAACTTTCAATATTTTGATGTTTAAGTAAATGATTTGGTATATATTTAATCTTTTATCTAGCATATCACAATTTCAAATAAAAAAACAATGATAATTAAGGGTGTGAATATTGTATATTATAAGCAAACCCATTTTATTTTGTTTTAAATTTGAGTTAGACTTAATTTTTTTTATCAAGGATAAAAAATGAACTAATTCACTTAATCCACATATTAATCAGGAATTAATTTATAATCCATTATTTATTTTAAAATTTAAAAATAACTATAATAATTTAATAACCTAAATGATATTATTTTAACTCTTCATTTCTATTCTATTATTAATAAAAGTTAAATATTCATTTAAATTTGTCATTAATTATTTATTGTATCATTGACCCTTAGTTCCTTGTCATTTGTTTGCTGTATTACCGCATCTGCTCGTTGTATTTATTGTTTTTGAATTTCGTATTTCAATTATCTTATAACGTTTATCACGTAATCATGTTATGTTAGCAATTTCGCCTTATGACTACATTCGTACCCGTGTTATAAAATTGAAAAGAAAAAAAACATAGATCAATTGAATTATAAAGTTTCTAACTTGAATTGGATTGAGCTCGTGTATTTTAACATGGTGAGCATCCGGTCTCACTTTGATATGATAGACTTATAAAATATTTAAGCAAAGTATATCGTGATTCGTGAACTAAGTAAAAGAGTTGTCGTATTTATTTATAGAGGAGTAAGATAAATTAAAGAAAGTAACGAAAACGGCAGATAATAGAAGGAAAAAGGGAGGATCAATGATCCTGGAAGCATCCTACGTGGAGGAATTATGATCAAACGTAGGAAGAGAGAGAATAAAGAATGAAACCCTATTTTTTCTGCTCTCTTCTGTTCTTCACCGGTAACAGAAATGAAGATGGCGCTGCTCAAGGTACCCACGCCCCCAGTGCAATGGCGCTGTAATGTACCACCCACCACGCTGGCGTTTCCGAATTCTCGTTCCATTTCTGCGGGTGAGTCTCGTTTCCTTCGTTTCTTTGCCCCAAATAAATGACAAACAATTGCAATTAGGTCAGGTTGGGATTTGGCATGAATATGTAAGTGACAGGGAGAGGAAAAGGAAGAGAATGGAATTGGAGGGTGAAATGCAGCAGTAGCAGTAGCGGTGCGGAGATTGAGAAAGGGGCTGGGAATTTTGGGCCGGGGAGCCCAGTGAGGGCAACGAACGTACTGGTGGTGGGGGCGACGGGAACCCTTGGAAGGCAGATTGTGCGACGTGCACTTGACGAAGGCTACGACGTCAGGTGTCTGGTGAGGCCCAGGCCCGCTCCTGCCGACTTCCTTCGCGACTGGGGAGCAACCGTTGTCAATGTAACTCTCATGTCTTTCTTTCATCACTTCTATATTTCTATTCCGTTTCGCACTCTTCAATCTCTTCCCGTTTACCAGGCTGACCTCAGTAAACCAGAGACCATTCCTGCTACCTTGGTCGGCATACATACTGTCATCGACTGCGCCACTGGCCGTCCTGAGGAGCCCATCAAAACCGTAACTAACCCTTCACTCAACATTTCTTTTCATTTTCTTGTACACATTTATACAATTCATACATACTAACATAGGTAGACTGGGAAGGAAAAGTGGCTCTCATACAATGTGCTAAGGCAATGGGCATTCAGAAATATGTCTTCTACTCCATCCACAACTGCGACAAACATCCCGAGGTTCCCCTCATGGAAATCAAGTATTGTACTGAGAAGTTCCTCCGAGATTCTGGCCTCAATCACATCGTAATCCGCCTATGCGGTTTCATGCAGGTCACATGTCTTACTCACAAATCCATGCTTTCAAAACCTTCACCTTTACTTTCTACCCACTAACATTTCATTAAATTACAATCTTTCATTGCAGGGTCTTATTGGTCAGTACGCAGTTCCCATCCTTGAGGAAAAATCCGTTTGGGGAACCGATGCCCCCACCAGAATAGCTTACATGGATACTCAGGTAATTAAACATCTCCCTCCGCCCTCTTTCCCTCTTCAATTTCCTTACTAATCGCTTTGCCTCCATCATTAGGATATAGCTCGATTGACATTTATAACTATACGAAATGAGAAATTAAATGGTAAACTTCTTACATTCGCTGGTCCCCGTGCCTGGACAACCCAAGAGGTAATTAACTAGACTTCTTCTGCTGCTAGTGCTCTTTCTCTTCCTCAAATGCCCAATCGCTCATCTACCCCCTGTCTCCTCGTATTTATGTTAGGTGATTACCTTGTGCGAGAGGCTAGCAGGCCAAGATGCTAATGTCACTACAGTTCCGGTCTCCATTTTAAGATTCACTCGTCAGTTGACTCGCTTTTTTGAGTGGACAAGTGATGTTGCTGATAGACTCGCATTTTCGGAGGTACTTCTTTCTTAACCCACTATGATACATTCATCTTCTGCACCTCTTTAGTAAATTGATTAATTATTGCACCTTTTCCTTCTTAGATCGGACAACCATCATGTATTTCATCCACTGTTGGTTGGTTATAATTAAACAGTATTTTTGAAAGTTATTATGAAAGCAAATCAACTTTTAATACCCATCAGTGAGCCATACCCATTGAGCAGTTGCGACTGGGGCTTTACTGATATGATGACTTCTTGAAGGGGGTATGCGTATGTTCTTGTTGCCTTATCACCATATCTAGAATTTTTTCATATCCTTGCACTCTATAGATTGTCTTTTAAGTGGCTGCCTATGCTTGTGTAATAAAAGGGATGATTCACCAAAGCAGATAAATGGGTGTTGCAGGTTCGGTATACTCACAAACTTGGACTTAAATTGTTTTTAGATAAATTTTTCATATAAAACAGAAAAGATGAAAGACAAATTAGTTAAACTTCTCCCTTTTCGTATATATTCATGTGTAATTTCTTTTCACTTTATACACCCAACCTTTTCTGAGAAATTCATTACGAGAGAATGAAAAAACAATGGGAATTCGAAATGCATTTCAGACGATCAAACGTGTAAATTGAAAATGATAGTTTGTTCAGAGTTTATTGATTTCTGTGACATAAGAACAGATAAACTAGAAAACTGTTAGCTTTTTATGTTACTTGGTACGGAAGTTGGCATATACATCATGAAGATGCCTTAAAATGCTTATTTCAGGACCCGTTACATGGCTATATTTTATATTATAGTATTACCAAAATATAGTAAATTATATTTTAGGTGTGAATAAATAGCATTTAGTGCATAAAAAAGCATTTCTATTTCCTCCTAGTGATAGAGAGATATGCCCAACTGCGTAAATGGGAATATATGCAGGTTCTTAGCAGCGATACTGTGTTTTCTGTTCCAATGGCGGAGACATACAGTCTTCTTGGAGTTGAATCAAAAGACATAGTTACACTAGAGAAGTATTTGCAAGACTACTTCACTAACATATTAAAGAAATTGAAGGATCTCAAGGCCCAGTCAAAGCAAACGGATATTTACTTCTGAAAGATTATTTGTAACATAAAACGAGTTAGCGGATGTAGATATCTACACGTCTCCTTAGTATTTCCCAACACCATGTATATCTTTGTTAATTTTCATTTCCGGTTTGTGTACCTAAGAAAGATGAGGATGTACCAAAAAATTCAAACATATTATCTATTTACGTAAGTTAAATTATCTTCTTGATAATTCCTACTTATTAATTGCCAGTTTAACATATTTGCTTTGAGCAGTGAAATTTAAAGGAAAAAATATAAAATATTTTAGCAAAGGTAGTAATATTAAATTAATCATGACATTACATAAAAACATATTTGCAATGAGAAAACAACTTATTTATAAATAGACTTGATTTGTTAGGGCAAAGGATAAAAGTAATAAAATTATACTTATTTTTTACTTTATAGTGAATTTTTATATTATACTTTAATATGAAAATTAAATAAATTTTTTAATCTCTAATATAAAAATAGGTACTTTTCATTCATATCATGGACAACGTTTATTGACATGTTTTCTATTTTTATCTCAAGTGTTTTATATATCAAGTATACAAGAGCATGCTTATCGATAAAGGAAATACAAACATGTTCTTTTTTATTAACAGATAAGTATACCAATTTTCATGCAATTTAACAAAACATTTGATATTTTTATCAATAAACTTATTTAAATGTGTAATAAAAAAATTAAATGTAAAAATATTACTTTTTTAATTATAATATTGATATATATTATTCATTATTAAAAATAATTATTAATATTATAATGGATATGCTACTACCACTTAAGAAGTGTTGTTTATAAAATTATATAACTATTAGAGTTTAAAAAATTATGAATAAAGTTTGTTTAGAAATTACGTTATCATCAAATGGAGTTATATTATTATATAACCACAATTTTGGATTACAAAATTTGCCTTTTCATAAAAAATGCTATTGTAAGAGTAAGAATAATGAGTGTATAAAATTTATTGATTTGATGTATTCTATTCAAACTATTTCACCACTAAATTATCCTAATAGATTATTAAATGTAATCTTAAAAATAAATTAGTCCCTCTTTCTCAAAAGCCATTTATTTGTCAAAAGATTTAAGTATATGTTTTTATGTCTTGGTCTTCCATCTTATCAAGTTTAGGAAGCCGCCGGAGTGGGTTCCACATGAATATCATTATTTCTCTGGTAAACACAAAAGTTTGAATTAGACGTGGGATTGGGAATAATGGTACGGAAATTATATTTTAATGAAATGTAAAGGGAAGAGAGTGTAGTTTACTTGGGCTGAAAATAATGAAAAGTAATAAGCAGCCATTCATGGTTTTGTTTCTTATTTTTCTTGATTCATGTTTTCGGCATTAGCCGCCCTAGTTGAAGAAAGTACATAAAGCAAGAGTGATTAGGATTAGGATTAGGATGAAAGAAGAAAATGAGGGTGATGGATTGGTAGGTATAAATGGAGAGAGAAATGCGAAGGAGGCAGTGAAGAAATGGAAACGAAGAATGAGATGAGTAGGGGAGTAGTGTTATGGAGCGTAGTAGTGATGATGACGGCAATAGTGGGAGGAAGCAGGGGAGAGCAATGCGGAAGACAAGCAGGGGGTGTGGTGTGCCCAGGGGGTCTATGCTGCAGCCAATACGGGTGGTGCGGCTCAACCATCGACTTCTGCGGCCAGGGATGCCAGAGCCAATGCACACCCGGGGGGAGCGATCTGAGCAGCATCATCCCCAGGAACACCTTCGACCAGATGCTCAAACATCGGAACGACGGAGCCTGCCCGGCCCACGGCTTCTACACCTACGATGCCTTCATCGCAGCAGCGAAGGCTTTCCCCAGCTTCGGCAACACCGGAGACACGGCCACTCGCAAGAGGGAAATTGGGGCCTTCTTGGGCCAGACGTCCCACGAAACAACCGGGGGATGGGCCAGTGCGCCGGACGGCCCATACGCTTGGGGATACTGCTTCGTGAGGGAACAAAACCCTAGTCCCTACTGCTCCCCGAGCACCCAATTCCCCTGCGCTCCCGGGCAACAGTACTACGGCAGAGGTCCCATCCAGATCTCCTGGAACTACAACTACGGAGCCTGTGGAAGAGCCATCGGGGTTGACTTGCTCAACAACCCAGACCTGGTCGCCACTGACCCTCTCATCTCCTTCAAGTCAGCCATCTGGTTCTGGATGACGCCCCAGTCACCCAAGCCATCCTGTCACGACGTCATCACCGGACTCTGGACCCCCTCCTCCGCCGATCAGGCCGCCGGCAGACTCCCCGGCTACGGCACTGTGACCAACATCATCAACGGCGGCCTCGAATGCGGGATAGGACAGGACAGCAGAGTCCAGGACCGCATCGGCTTCTACAAGAGATACTGTGACTTGCTCGGCGTTGCTTACGGCAACAACCTCGACTGCAACTCTCAGAGGCCCTTCGGCAATTCCCTTCTTCTCCATCCCCTCATCTCCTCTCCATCCTCCTCTTCTCATCGTTAAGATGAGCTGAGCTGAGCTGAGTTCACCACTCTGTCTAAATAACAAAAACTCCGAATAAATATTATCCTATTTTCTTTCATATGCACTCCAACCTTACCATAAGAATCCCTTTATTTATCCTATCAAACACACATTCGATAATACCATGCCTAAAATAACTTTGATCAAAACCTACAACAGTATATAATATCATATCAAGGTACACGTGTTTTATCGATCAACTCTTTCTCTTATAACCAAGTGTGTGTTTCGCTTTGTTTTCAAATAAACCATGTTCTCGAATTTTAACCAACAACCGCAAATGAATATTTACTTGCTTATAAATAATTCTTGTACACAACAAGATTTATAGATAAATTTCACTATTAGTTACATTTTACTAAATTACACCAAAACACATTTCAATACATTGATCAAAGTATGGTTTAATTAACTTTCTAAAATATTTTTTTCCTATATTATATAAAATTTATTTAACAAATAATAATTGCAAGGGAAACATACTAACAATACTACAAACTTGGTATAACAAGTGAAACAACGAAAAATATTTAACAACCCAACCACAGCAATAATGGTTACAAAGTCTATATGCAGCAAACTTTTTCTGAGTAATATTGAGCAAAACATCGCTTTTTTATTAAAATAAGAACACTTTTATATCAATTCCATTTTCTGTATAAAACTTTTCTGATCATAAAATTTGGTGTAGTAGGAAGCCTCCTTCTTCACTCAAATGTTACAATATTGAGCAGGCAACTTGAGGGGAGACACTGAAGTTGTATTGGTATATGTCTATCATTTGGGAGACTAATATTAATATTTCTTTACAACTCATGCAATCAGACATGACTTTCATCATCAAAAGTTTAATATTTTATGAGACCAACACTATCGAGTTTAAAAATATTATCTCTTATAAGATACACTAGATACACACTTATATCATGAACCTTTGAAGTCGTACATTAACAGTCAAGTTTATAATTTAATTAATGATCTCTCACATCATATGGGTATTTTATTTCTTTTAAAAAAATTTAAAATTAGTAACATATGATTTTATAAAAGGATATCAACTTAATTAGAATATGCTTTAGATATAAATACTTTTTAAAATTATTATTTAACCATATATAGTCATATATAATAATTTTTTCAACTTCTAAAAATGATTAATAATTTTTTATATATCTTTTAAAAAATATATTTTTAATGTGTGTAGAAACTAATTTTAATTTATATATATTTTTTCTTATTTCTTCAACCATGAAAAAGTTTTTCCATTTTGACACTATATGTGATAGTTACGTACATTTCTCTCTGTCTGTTTTCAAAGCGACTGGTAAAACTACATGACCTTAACGCAACGGCAAGTCCTGTCCATTCACTTAGAAATTTCCATAGTCTCCCCTTTCCACCCCAAATATTTAATTACTTCTGTAATCTGTGTATTAATCTTACAGCCATAAATAGGATGCCCCCGTCCTCGTCGTTAAAAGATTGGACGGACTCACCGAAATGATATTACATATTCTATTACATCCCATTAATAAATTTTTTATATATGTTTTTTGAAATAAATATATTTTTAATTGTAAGAATAATTTTTAAATATTTATTAATTAATATTTTTATTAGATAAATTAAAAATATTATATTTATATATAAAAATAATTAATTATTTAAATTTAATTAATTAATTTTTATAATTTAAATTATAATATATTTCAAGAAAATAATATAAGAAATTATAATTTTAATATATAAATATTTTTTTAAAACAGATTAATAAACTAATTTATTTTGCTTTTTGATTCATTAAATTGACGAACTAAACGATGAACTAAAAATATAATAATTAATTAAAACTATTAATCTGTGTCAATTTTTAGACAGATCAACCTGTCAAATCTAATCTATTTTGTGACTGCTAATAATAAATTATTTATTCTAATTAATATGTTTTTTAACTTATTTTAATCAATTTAGATACAGTTTTAAATGATAAAAGACTAATTTACACACACTTCTGGGATATTAATTAGATTTCAGCAGTGCTGAAGTGTTGATGAAGAACAACTTTGGGAGACAGAAGAGGCTCTTGTTCGGGGCAGATGTCACTTCTCGTTGCTCTATATTTTAGTGTGGAGGATGTTTATTTTTTACAGCAACCCACCATTGACATGATATGGGTTGAAATTTTTAATTCAAATATAAAACAAATATAACTCAACTCAACTTGTTTTTCTGAACCTGTTTAATATTCCTAACTAAAACTAACCAATTCAAAAAAGATTCAATGAGAATCAAAAAGTCATCCTATTTGCTAATTTATCAGTATATTTTAAAGATAATTCTTATATGGATGGCCATAAAATATAAACTGCGAACAGGAAGCCAATGCTCCCTTGTCATCCTCTTTGCTTCACCGTCTGATCTTTCTGTATCAGATTTCCCTGTTCAATCTTCACGACGGTGTTGAATGTGATCCAGACATTCAGCTTCTGAAGACCTCTTCAAGTTCACAAGAATTACTTTGACATAAAATAATATATTTTAGATCATACTGGGAAATACATCCTTGATAATCAACTATTTTTTCTTTTCTTTCTTTACTAACGTTTCACCCACAATAGTTGACAACTTTCTTGGCGGTCAAGTTGTTAGACGTAAAATCATCAGATACTTTCATCAAACAGTTTAATCTTTTAAAATAATTGATTTCTTCTCATACCATAATTGGTTCATGAAACTAGTTGGCCATTCCCATCACCAACAGAACGCTTCAGTTCTATGTGATCCCAAATTTCTCCAAGGCAATCAAGAAAGAATGAATCCACGTGGCCTTCGTTCACTATCAAAACTATCTTTCATGCATATAGTATTTGCATTTGCATCCTGCATCCAATCTGAGATGCTCATGCCAAAAATTACAATTGGAATGTGAGAATTGAGACCAGATTGTGTTGTGTAAGAAGAATAAAGTCACTAGCAACCACATTTTACTTGCTCTATGCTATTTTGAGACTTCCATTACATGCCACTGGAACTGCCAGAAAACTTTTTACTTCAGCTTCCGACCCTTTATTGTGAATTGTGATGTACTCTTGGACAACAAAGAATCGATATTTCCTGTTGCTTTAGCATTCATAGATTCGTATATGGATTCAATTCCCTTTTTCACATAGAGTAGCCATGAGCTCTGACCGAGCCTTATCGAGGGCACTTGCCAAATTTTCAGGCTTCCTCCCACCAGCCTGAGCAAAATTGGGCCTTCCACCTCCACCACCACCACATAATTTTGCTATTTGTCCAATAAACTTACCTGCCTGAATCCCCTGATTAACCACCCCTGGAGTAAAAGCAGCAACTAGACTAACCTTACCTTCACCTGGACATGAGCCCAATACCACAGCTGCTGGATCTGCTAGTGTTTCCAGTAAGTATTCTGCGGCACTTTTAAGTGATTCAGCATCAACATCATCGAAGCACTCAACTAGTACTCTGCAAATTTCAACAAGCAATAAATAAAAAAGATACATCTACTTAATGTTTAACAAGTTTTAAAGATAATTTTTTCCAAAGTCCGACTAAGTTTAACCAGTTAAGAAAATATTCAGTACAAAAAACAAGACAAGGAAATATTAATACAAATGACATCCTTTCAACTTTAGTTCTAAAAATGATGTGATGCAACACCTCTGCTTCTTAATGGTCATATTTGTTTGGTTAAGACAATAAAAAAATCAAGTGAGAAAAGGTTGAAAGACTTCTATATCAAAGAAAAATCTTCAGGTTGCCAAAAGGAAAGAAATCCCTGTCCCCCATATTATATAAACAGATACTGAAAATCACCATATGGAGAAATATTACCTATACTGCTTTGAATCCCCCACCAACAATGCTTTGTTCGCAATAACTGAAGCTTTGTAGACTGCTGCTTTTGCACGCACAGCAGCATTTTCATTTCTCACTAACCGCAACTCCTCCAAAAGGTTTTCTATCCTTGTTGTCACTTCTTCTGGTTTAACCTTCATAAAGTGATATATTCATTATAATGCATAATGACAAGCAAAATCAAAATTGCAGAGCAGACAGAATGCTCAATTAGAATTTATAAGTGCTTTAAAGAAAGAAATGGTGCCATGTGCTGAAAATAACCAAGCCAACAACACCCCAGGAATTTTTATTTTATTAAAACACTAATTAAAGATTTATACATATCAAGGGCATACGCTACGTATCTGAGAAAGTTCATTTGCTGATATGTTTAATTCATTATGGAAGAACTAAACAGGAAATCCTTATAAGGCATACAGAAAATGAAAATCCCAAAGCTAAGGGATAAGCACCCAAACATTTGAGAACCCTTCTTAAAAGGGATTTGTTAAAAGTGAGAGAATCAAGCTACATATGTATTTTCATCGGGCAACCCCAACTAGATTTGGGATTTAAGCACCTCATAATACCCAAGTCCTTGTCATTCCCTACTAGATATGGGGGGTTTAAGCACCTCATAATAACTTTAAAGAAGCTAGTATTCAACCCCTTCATAGGTTCAAGACACCAATAACCAACTCTAATACTAATTTACTCATATCCAAGTATTTGGGGAACCCTCTCTTAGAAGCTAGTTTTTAAGGGGTTTGAACCAAACCACTTAAGTACTCCACCAAACACCCAACTACTCTATATGAGACTTATATATTCCAAAATATTTAAGTTCTTATCAATAAGTATTTGAATGACACGATAAGAACCATTCCAGACTATGATCAACACCATCTTATGTAGAATGGGAAGGTACCTGTATCTCATCCGTACCCCTCCCCTCATCCCCCAACAAATAAACGAAAAGAGTAAGAAGGAAAATAAAAGGATTCCTATGTTTACATAAGTAATAATTAGTCACAATAATTGAATGACACAGATATCAACAGAACAATGTGATTTTAAAATCACAGTCAATATAGATCAAAATGAATATTAACTGGTTC